ATATATATATATATATTGATTGCATGCATACATAATTACGTACATACATACATACGTACATACATAGATAGTATATAGGTATATGTATAATATACACCTTCAAATGTATATCTAACCGTCAGTTTGTTCATATATGCCTATATATATATACACATGCAATTTTGTCTATATGTGTGGTTATATATATATATAGATATATACATACACAAGTTTCGTATGCATGTCTGTATAAGCAATACCTGCGTCTTTCTTCTGACAGCACACCATAACGCGGCGGTTAGGCCCACCTTGCTCGCCCGCCAGAAGCGCAGGCGATGCTGCCTCCTAACGTATGTACGTATGCGTGTGAGTGTATGTATGTGTATGTATCAACATATGTGCATGTATGCATGTTTGTAGGTATGTACGTCAGTGAGTAGAAGTGATTGAGTGAGTAATTAGTAAGTAAGTGAGCAAGCGAGTAAGAAAGTTTACATGTAAGCAAGTACATATGTACATGTTTATGCACATGCACGTAAATTCGTATGTAAATGTATATGTATATATACATGTATGTACTTATGTAGCATCTGCCTATGTAGTTTTCATGTGCATGTACAGGTCTATGTATATATATATATATATACATATTATGTATTTCTATGTATATGTACGTGGAAAGGTTTTTATACCTATTCTTATGCATAAGTATTTATGCATAGCGAAGGCATATGCATTTGTATATGGATATGCATATTGATATGCATATGTATATGCGTGTGCATATGTATATGTATAGGGGGTGGTGCGTAGGTGATGCATGCCGCACTCAGTAGTTGATGCTTCACACGAGTCGCCACACCATACTTCTCTCTTTCTTTGATTCGTCTTTACCGTGCAGGTTGTGGGACGACGAATACTTCCAGCGTCTTTGGTGTCAACTAGAATTGGCTACGTTCGCAAAATACGGCAGTGTGCAGAAGGCGCGCTTGAGAAAACATCCAGCGTCTTTGAAGTTGCCCCCACTAGACTATCCTAATTCCAAGCCCTATGCTGTAAGTTTTTGCGCCCAATCGTACCCCTAAACCTATAAACCCTAAACCCTAAACCCTAAACGGCAATTCTACCAACTCTACCGTGCAGCACGGCGCAACACTGACCAAACCTCGGCAATGGCAGTGAGTGTTAATCTGTACTTCAGAACGGTTTAGGGTTTTAGGGTTTAGGGTTTAGGGTCAGAGATCATGGTTTTCAGCACACTAGGCAAACAAACCAGGCAAGTACTCTTTGAAGTACCAACATCCCAGTTAAGGTACTTATGACCCATCTAAGTAAACGTTCACCCTAGACCTTGAACGGAAACTTCGTCTGAGGATTGATTTTTGTTCTGGGCCTTGAGCTCCAAAAAGCTTTAGGCGTTAGGGCTTATAGGGCTTAGGTGCTTAGTTAGGTTTTAGAGGCTTTTAGGGTTTAGGGTTCTATAGCTTTGGGGAGTATCGACACGACCGGCATCGCCTTGGTCTCCCCAGCAGCCCCAGCTGGCTTTATCCTAAGATGTCGGTTGCCTCTGAATGTGCAGGGGGGGTCCTTAGAATTGGGGGCCCTGCGTTTTGGGGTATGTATATGAGGGATTTGAATATCTATTCAGGGTCTGTACCAAGGGTGTTTTGTTGAAAGTCTCAACTCAGAAGAAAAGGCGCCCGTGAGAATCGGTGGGCGAAGAAGATCAACAATGCATGTTAAGGCCCAATCCCAACCAAGACCCCGAAGCATGATTTCAAAAAGCCTGCTTGTTGATGTATGAATCAGCATTATTGGCGGGGCGCTTACCATTGGCTAACCATACAAGCAGCCACCCACACAAAGGTATTGCAACACACGGCTTCGGTGGCATTCCTGATGCAGGTCAATATCCTTCCGCTTTGGTTGGCGCCGTGGCTGCTGTCTGCGCTTGTCATCAACCTAGGCGCTGCCTCAGGTTGGAACTTCCTGTGGTATGGAGTCTCTCCAGACTTTCTGTACTCCCTCGTCGCAACGGTTCAAGGAAGGATTCCGCAGACTCTCTCAGTGCCAGTTACTTAAGAGTGCTTGGAAACAGTTTCTAATTTTTGGTTACTCCGATCCCGGGGAAACAGCTGAAATTCCATTTTTTGCAGTATCATATCAATATACCAAGAAAGCCCTGTTCGATCTATGCAGGCCTCTACCAAGCTCAGTATAGGTTACTTCGGTGATCATCGTCTAAACCCTAAACCCTAAACCCTAAACCCTATAGGTTACTTCGGTGATCATCGTCACGCTCTTTGGGTCTATGGTGGGCTTACTCGCATCGATCCCCTGGGCGATCGCTTGCAAAGCGAAGTTGCGCAGCCACGAGCTGATCCTGGGCCTGTTTAGGGTTTAGGGTTTAGGGTTTAGGGTTGTGTTGCTTGGGATAAGGGATTCTTTTATGGGATATGTAAAGGTTCTATGAGGGTTTAGGGTTTAGGGCTTAAGTTACCATAATATAAGGGTTTCCTTTGAGGGATATATAAAGGTTCTATGCGGGTTTAGGGTTTAGGGCTTAAGTTACCATAATCGGGATCTGTAGTACATGAGAAGGTTTCCTTATGATGGTAACTTAATTTAAAGTAGGGGCCTAAATAGATACCTATATTATTCTGGCGGTTCCTGATTATACTTAAAATAATACACCCCCAAAACCCTATTCTTATTATTCAGGCCCCTACATTACCTATAGTCTCCTTTGTAGTTCCTTTTTGGGGATACCTTATAAAATCCTTCATATATAATTGGTTAAACCAAGAAAAGGAACTACAATGGAGACTATAGGCAGTTCTGTAGCCAGAACCGAGGATGTTGGACCAAATGGCGAATTTTGATTGCCGGGCTGCACAATGTACAGAACCGGCCGATAGGCTACTAGTGCCTTAGTTCCGCAATACCCAACCTTTAAACTTTTTGGGTTCTTATCATTTAGTCGCAATCTGAAAGTTTAACATTTTATTTCCCTGGCTTATTGGGGAAGTAAGGTGCAGCAGCAGGTCCAGCATCTATTTCGAGCGCCCGGACAGCCCAGTAGTTCATCAGATTCGATTGAGGCGGAACCAATTGATGACAGGTCGCTGGATGCATTCAATGGCTATATTCAAGGTCCACTCCGTTCCGTCGTCATGGAAAATGTCGGAGCAAAGCTGCATGTTCCCTATGGGTTGTGCCTGGTGGCTGGCTTGCCAATGACGTTTTATTCCTGCGTGGACATTCTCCAATGCGATGAGGCGTGTGTAGCCAGCAATGGATTCGAGACTTTTTCCTCATACATGAAGGCCAGCATGGTGACCTGGCTCGTGAACATTTTGCTGGTTTACCCCATCTTCTACCCAGCTCCCGGCACCAAAAGTTCCAGAAGCATTTTTGTATTAATGTGACAGCTCAAAGGACTGTTGCTCCGCTCCCCCTCAAAAAAAATAAAAGTAAAATAAACAACAATAGGATGTCCCTGAGCCAGGTTTTCCTTCGGATGCTCAAGCGCGCTTTCTCTGTCCAGCTGGAGTGTTTGCAGTTCTTCTTGGCAGTCATCAGTGCCTTCATCTGCGCTTTCCTAAGGGTTTACGGTTCAGGTGCGCTTTAGCTTTGAGGGTTGGATTTTATGATAGGAATTACAGTCCCCATAGAAGATGAATAGCAACCAGGATTTTCCGTAGGGTTCCCAAATATGATTTGGCTATAGTCTAAAACCCTAATCTGATTATGAGGATCCCGACATGGAAGCTCATTCCCTATATAGCAAACACAGCTGTTATCATGGGTCCAACAGGGTTTGAGCGAACTAGCACAGCCAGCTTCGCTTAGCAGGGTGCTTGTAGGTTTGGGACACTCTAAGGCAGTATTGTGAGCTTAAGCTACGGCTACTTCTGCAGCGGCTGGGTGTTTGGGCTCTTCTACCTCTGGGTCCAGCACGGCATGGTTGGGCTGCTTCCGCTCTCGGCCCTCTTGGTGATCCTGGTGTTTCAGCAACAATGTCTCTTCGGCAATTGTCGTCGGCCCGGCCTGTGCAAGAAATCTGAACCGAAACAAGCGTTGGGGGCCGCAAAGGTTAGAGTCGGGTTCTGAATCATCGTATAGTATTGGTATATCGAGGAGCTATGAGGCAACTAACACAAGACTAGAACAGGGTTCCGAAGTATGGTTTAGTATCGTAGAGCAGTGAAGTATCGTATAGTCATACTGAGGAACTCACACAGAGGAATAGCATCAATTATTTTCAGGCCGCTGTATTAGCCCTATCACTGGGCCCAAAATATAGAAGCCTAAAGAATTACCAATATTAATATTAGGGTTCCTTATTCTCAATTTACAAAAATGGAGCCCAAAACCCTATTCGCATTATTAAGGCCCCTACATTAATCCGGCCTTATCACCAAACTCAAGAGCCTTGGCCTCACTTACACACTTTACTGGCCCCATCCACACCGCTAAATCGAAACTCCCATTCGGAAGCAGAACCTCTCCCTAACCCTAAACCCTAAGCCCTAAACCCTAAGCCCTAAACCCTAAACCCTAAACCCTAAACCCTAAACCCTAAACCCTAAACCCTAACCAAGAACCCTCAAGTCTGGCAGTTGATTCTTGACCCCAGTCGTGCGAATGGGGCTCCATAGCCTGATGATCAGGGTCTTCGGAGACCATTTAGGGTTGAGGTTTCGGGTTGTAATCAAAATCTTGAGGTTTCGGGTTGTAATCAAGGGCTTTAGGTTTCATTCATAGGGCGCTTGGTCTTAGCAAGATTAGTCAAGTGCCCGCCTTTGAATCAGACTTTTTGGCCAGGAGGTGTGCGACAGTCGTCCGCTGATGGCACGTACCGGAGCTTACACGCTTTCGACGAGTTTACGATCTAAATCCGAGGGCTTGCTCCCTTGGTTCCAAACCCAACAGTATGTAGCTGAAGGGCTGCTTAGGGCGCATGGTTCAGATCCAGAACCAGGCAACAGTTTTCACTTCTTGGTAGCCAAGTCCACCCGCGTGCCTGTGAGCAACAAGGGGGGTGCCGGATTTTCAGAGTTTGGCCGGTTCTTCTCCAAATAACTAGAAGCCCTTAAGCCTTAAGCCGAAAACTCGAAGTCCCCGGCCGCTGCTTTGTCGACCATAGTCTGCCATTTTGTTGCGTCCCTACAAATACGATCAGTGCTTCGAATTGCAGAAAACAAGAATCAGGAGTATAGCAGCTTAATGACACCTTTGTTTAGGTTTCGAGCCGTCAGTCTGGGAAGTCCTGGGGCTGGGGTTTGTCGAGGTTTTGTTTGTGGCCTTGGGCTCAGGATTTGGGGCTTTGCCTGAACCCTCCATTGTACTTCCGTTGTTTTACTCGTCATCTGGCTCCTTATTCCAGGGTCGCATCCAAAAAAACAGGTAAGCCCAGAAAGAAGCTGCACAGGAGAGTAAAGGTATCTCCAAACGGGTGCTTCATTAGCTTGGTTTTGTTTCCATGCCCTGCCCTGAAGCCTTCAACCGCTTATAAGCGGTTTAGGAAAGGGGGGTTAGGGGTTATTTGTTTGGTGGCTTTCAGGGTTTAGGGTTTCAGGTTTATGGTTCTGATGTTGTCAGGTATTGTATATGTACATATGTATATATGTGTATATGTATATATACATA